AAAACCATGAATCTCGCTTTCAAAGACTTTCAAGTTGTTGGAAATCATGTTATTTTCAGATAGGTGAAGTTTCTTCACCGCAACCACGTCACCAATGGGTAGCACAGCTTTATAAACAGCTCCATAGCCTCCTGAATACAATTGCTGGAACTGAAATCTTCAGTGCCTTCAATAATGTTCTCAGAGAGTATTCTTCCATTATATCCCCACAATGTGAAAAATCTCCAAGTTGTGCCTCCATTGACTCAGATTTTCTAGTTCGATTCTTTTGGCAAAGAATAAAGAAACTTCCAGCCACGATACAGACTAAAAGAAGTAGACCAAAGAGTGAAAGCATAATGAAAATGATGACCTTGCTGCTTTGTCTATGACCAACGTTGTTGCTAGCAGCGGCGACGACACAATGCATTAGTCCAGTGGCATTACCACATAGGGCCTTATTGTTTCTTAAGGCATCAAATGAAGCCTCATGAAATGCCTTAATGTCGGGAATAGGACTTTCTAATTGATTGTAAGAGATATATACAAGAGTCAAGCTTTGCAAATCATTAAAAGAATTTGGGATGGAACCATTGAGCATATTGTGAGAAAGGTCCAATATTTCCAAGGAAAGTAATTTTGAAAGCTGTTGTGGTATCTCCCCAATAAGTAAATTCTGACTTAAAATCCAGATTTTCATGACCGTATATGTAGCTTGTTGAAATTGGAATGCTTTCTCCAAGTCTATTCTTGCCCAAATTCAGGTTCAATAACTTAGAGCATTTTCCAAGCCGACTAGGAATTGATCCACTTAAATTGTTTGTTGCCAAGTTAAGATGTCGTAGGTTTAAAAGAACTCCAATCTCTGGTGGAATTTTGCCTGAAAGTTGGTTACCACTTAGCAAAAGATTGAACATCAATGTCAATGCTCCCAATTCCCTGGGAATCTCACCCATGAGATGATTTGAAGAGACATCGAGTTCTTGTAATTGAGTTGCATGTTTCAGCTCAGGTGGTATCTTTCCAGAAATGTTATTATTGGAGATTCATAGGCTTGTTAGACAATGGCATTGCCCCCAGTTTGGCGAATGTCGACCATAAAATTTGTTGTTGCTTAATGCAATATAATTCAAAATAGGATATATACCAAAAGCTTCTGATATATTTCTTGTCAACTGCTTTCCTTCAAGCCTAACTCTGTAAAAGCTCTTGCAGTTTTTTAAACTTGATGGGATCAGACCTGTCAAATTGTTGTTGATAGCCCCAAGATATAAGAGTTGTCCACCGAGGCATACATTCTCGGGTAATGGACGACCGAGATGGTTGCCTGACATTTGGAATGATTCCAAATGAATAAGATTGCTGAACGAAGTAATTGGCCCTGATAAATGTTTAAATAGAAGACTTAAAAAGGTTTTGATGAAAGTTTTGGATTCTGGAGTAAAAAAAAAATCGACGAATATAGAAGATTAAAACCTAATTAATTTGTTTTTGCATCACCTCCCTTCCTTTGTATTTACAATGCAAATCGAACTCCAATTAGGAGTATATTTCTAATAGGGTTTAGGAAATTGTTATATGCAGCAATTAGTTAATAATTTTTGTTTTTTAAATAAAATATTTATATCATTTTTATAAGCATTTAAGTAATTCTCATAAATTTTATTAAAAGAGAAGTATTATAATGTCAATGTCTCTGAGCAATATGTAAGAATTAAATATACATATATATTGCTATAAATGCAAAGTTTTGATTTTTTTTTATAAAATAAAGTTTGAATTGCTAATTCTAAACCAAAGCAAAGGAATAAATATATACACATATACATAGGGAACTTTGGTGCTAATATTAATATAAATGGTTATTTATTAATATATATATATATATAATTGCCATACAGTTATTCAATTAAAATTACAATAGAAATATGTAGTAATGTATTTAAACTGATAAAGAAATTAAAAAGTTCATAAAATTATTTTAAAAGAAATCAATGTTCATCAATTAATCATCATTACTATTATCTCTTTATAAATCTAATAATATTATTGTTTAAACTTTTAATTACTTTTATTTGTTGAATACTCTAATATCTATTTTATTTTAATATGCCAAACATGTTTTTATTTGTTCAAAGAAATTATGGTAATTTATTATGGAGGCATTAAGTTACAATATTTATGTAGATTGTACATATATATCCATAATTAAACCAATATTCAATTATATATTCATGTACCAATTTCCTATATAAACATATGTTTATTGAAATTAAACCAATTTTTCAAGTTAAAGTTTGGAACAACATTATCTAAAAGTGAATATCAACTTATTGATTATTTAATTACTTCTTATTGCAGGCTATAAGGGTTATTGGACTAGAACTTGAGCCTAAATGAAAAAATGCGGGCCATGTTAGTAGGCTATATTTGTTACAGGCCTATTTAGTTTTATTTGTTTCTTTTATTAAATATGTTATTATTGTTACACTAGACAAGGAGAGAGAGAGAGAGAATTATGACCTGCAATATCCGATTTTTACGGATTGCAGTTATGTTGAGTATTCTGCTAAGAATTACAAATGATGAAAAGGAGCATTGTATACGATTTTGTCGAGAAATATCAGCAGTTATTCTCTCTTCTAGAAATCTTTCTTCTTTTTTCTTTCTCCTTCTTTCTCTTCTTTTTTTTCTTCTGCGATCTATCCGTTGTCGTTACTTTGGAAATTTAAGCTGTGTCATTTTCGTATCAAAGCATCGACTTGGCAATCATGGCGGATGGAGTCTCTACCAGGATGCAAAAGGAAATCCAACAAAATGAAGAGGAAATTGCTAAGCTTTAGAATGAAATCTAGTAGATCGATGTCAAGATGGAGAAGAAATTTGGGGAGATAGATGTCAAGATGGAACAAATGTTTGGAGTGATGCAAAATAAGGTACTAGAATATTTGAAAGAGTTGTTGGAGATGGCTCCTAATGATGGTAGCTGGATGCCCAACAAGCAAGAGGAAGACTTAGTCTCTGTTTGCAAAACACAGAGGAAGCAGGGAATAGAGCCTGTTTCTGATTGTGATACAGACAAACCTTCCTCTGATGGAATGGTACTCAACAGTTCTTCACATTCAGATCAACCCCGGTACCTGTTTTCTAATTCATGTAAGCTGTTTAATGGTCATGATTTCAACAGTTGGGTTTTGAAACTAGAATAGCACTTTGAAGTTGACAGAATACCTGCGATTATATTGACTAACAAAGTTTTTTAAAAAATTAACACTTGTCTTATTAGAGTATATTTATAAAAAAATTAACAAATTGATTAATTATTTAAATAGCTATACTGAATTCTTAAAAAATACTGTATAAAATAATAATCCAAATATTAAATGGATATAACAATTTTAAAAATAATTTGTCTAATAAAAAATTATCATAGTAATTCTAAAATGTGTATAATTTTTTTAGTATTGTGTAGAGTTCATAAAAAAATTATGTAGAGCTCACACTTTTAAATGACGGATTCTTACACAAATTTTTTTAATTGGCTAATTACAAAATTGCAATAAAAATTATAGGGGTAATTAGCCTTTTTTTGTGCAATTAATTTTGTTCAAAGCCTATCGTTTCTCCAAACAAATAAAACAAGAGTACTGTTCACCATAATATAAACAAAAAAAAAAAAACAGAGAAAAAAGTTATGAAAGGTCATTGGTATTTAATTTGAAAACATTTCGGACTAATTTCAACTATAATTTAGTTTGGGAAAAAATGTTTTGTATTTTTGTTAATAATTATGTTTTGTATTTTATTGGCTATATATTATTATTATTATTATTATTGAAAATTTAGATTAAATTTAATTACAGTCAAACTCTAGCTTTAATTATATATTAAAAATGAAAAATATTTTGTGATGATAAGCCTTTGAACTTTTCATATAAGCCTCTGTCCTTTTATTATATCCAATTAAGTCTTTAAAAATTTAATTTTATCTAATTAAATCTTTAAGCTTAATTTTGTTCCACTAAGCTCTTTTTTTTAGATGAAAATTGCAAAAAATATATATATATATATATTTCTTGCCAAATCAACATAGATGTCATAGTTCTTTCTATGATGCCAATATTTGCATAGCATATATTTGAAAATAAAAAAGCTTTTTAAATGCTAATGTGATCTATTATATGAGCCATTTATTATATATTATGTAAACAATAACTTGACTTAAATATTTATATTTCGCAAAGCAAATATTGATTTACCAAAAAAAACAATTATTACCATTGACATGGTAAAAATAATGAATTTTAATAGTTTTCATATAAAATAAGACTTAATTAAATAAAATTAATGTTTTATGCTTTTAATTGGATAAAAAAAGATAAAAGTTTATTTGAGGAATTTGAGAAAACTACAACATTGTTTAGCATTTTAGTTAAAAAAAAGTACAAATTGAAGTTATATAGCTTAAAATCATCACTCAAATCCATTTTAAGTATACTCAATATAATTACAATTAAATTTTAAATGATTTAAAAGGTAGGAAATGCAGAAAGTTTAGAAAGATAAATTGTAAGAAACAATGTGTACGAGTGTGTGTAAGAATAAATGACCAGTAAATAGTATAATTAAAAGATTATTGTGTAAAGTTGTGTTTATTGTAATTTGGTGTACTCACCAATTGTATTCTTTGTTTATTCAAACAAATAAAAAGGTGATATTAAAATTGCTGTAGCATTCCAAAGCAAAAGTAGTATAGCAAATCGGGACTACAGCAGAATATTACAATTGATACTGAAAGTTGAAATTCTACTTTTGGCCATTAGTTAAATTTTAGAAATAGGAAATTTTGAACATACGAATTAAGTGCTTAAATACAATTGTTCTATATCACAACCGATTCACTACAAAAACTTTATTACTAGAATGCATAAACATTTTCAATACAAAGAAGCAAAAAAGAAATAGATTGAAAGTAAATACACGTGCTTAGAATTGTTATTCAAATTGTTAGCACCTTAATATTAGCCACCGTAGACTTCATGACCCCATAATTCTCCCAATTTTATGATTGAGAAAGGATTAGGCAATGGAAGCGATTGACGGATAAGGGCTTGAGCAACTTGTTGCATGGTTGGCCGAAGTTGGGGATTGCCATTCAAGCATGCAAATGCTAGCTTTGTGGTAGAGACTACGTCCTTTGCAACTTGCCTTACTGGTGGTGAGAGACGTTGGTCTATCACATCTTTAAGTAAAATCAGTTGGTTGTCATTTGGTATCAATGTCGATGTTGATGTCGATGCCAATGATGACGATGGTAAATATGAAATCAAATCACCATTATGCCTCCCCATAAGTATTTCCATTGTTAACACCCCAAAACTGTAAACATCACATCTTTCGTCTACTTTCATTGTATAAGCCAACTCTGCTTAAAGAAATATTTATAATCAATGTGCTCTAATAAGCAATAAATATATCTAAATCAAATACACTATTATGTAAGAATATTGAGAAGATTATAAAATAATGTTGAAAAGAAATTGTGAATGTTTAGAAGATTACATGAAAATTAAAATTCATAGGTTTAAATAAGATTTTATATTTAGTTCATCAGTTTGATATATTAAATATTAAAAAATTAAGTGTTAAACTTCAAAGATTAATTACACATTTTATACTTGAATTAAGTAAAATTCTTTGAAACTTAAATTTGAAAAGTTACAATTAGGTGTTAAACTTCAAAGATTAATTACACATTTGATGCTTGAATTAGAGTAAAATTCTTTGATACTTAAATTTGGAAAGTTACAATCTTAAAACCACTTGTACATAGTTTTAACGCATTAATTTGCACACAAAACTAACACTTCTAATTGAATGATGAAATATTTAAAGCATCTTAAAAAAAAGAGATATTAATAAATACCTGGAGCTATATACCCGAAAGTGCCAGCAAGTGAGGTCCAATTGAAAGAGTCAGGCTTTAAAAGCCTGGCTGTGCCAAAATCTGAAACATGAGCCTCATAGTCCAAATCCAAAAGAACATTATTGCTGGAAATGTCTCGATGAATTATAGGTGGTGAATGGTCATGATGCATATAAGACAAGGCATTGGCCACTCCTTTTACAACATTTAGCCTCTTCTCCCAATCCAACTCCATTGCCTCGTCCTTGTTGCTTAACACCTTTCTCAAATTTCCCCTTTCTACAAACTCATAAACCAAAAATGAGTTCTTTGGATGTGAACAAAAGCCATACAGCTTCACAATGTTACGATGCCTTATATCTGATAAAGCATGAATCTCGCTTTCAAAGGCTTTCAAGTTGTTCGAAGTCATGCTATCTTCAGATTGGTGAAGTTTCTTCACAGCAACCACCACACCAATGGGTAGCGCAGCTTTATAAACAGTTCCATAGCCTCCTGAACCAATGCAATTGTTGGAGCTGAAATCTTCAGTGGCTTCAATAATGTTCTCGTAGAGTATTCTTCCATTATATCCCCACAATGTGAAAAATTCTCCAAGTTGTACCCCTATTGACTCAGATTTTCTGGTTCGGTTTTTTTGGCAAAGAATAAGGATACTTCCAACCATGATAAAGAGAAAAAGAAGACCAAAGAATGGAATCACAATGAAAATGATGACTTTGGTGCTTTTTCTATGACCGTTGCTAGCGGCAGTGACAGCACAAGGCATTAGTCCAGTGGCATTACCACATAGGCCTTTATTGTTTCTTAAGGCATCAAATGAAGCCTCATGAAATGCCTTAATGTTAGGAATAGGGCCTTCTAATTGATTGTAAGATATATTCACAACTGTCAAGCTCTTCAAATCATTAAAAGAATTTGGGATGGAACCATTGAGCATATTGTGAGAAAGGTCCAATATTTCCAAGGAATGTAATTTTGCAAGCTGTTGTGGTATCTCCCCAATAAATAAATTCTGACTTAAATCTAGATTTTCAAGACCATTTATATAGCTTACTGAAAATGGAATGCTTTCTCCAAGTTTATTCTTGCTCAAATTCAGGTCCAATAACTTTGAGCAGTCTCCAAGTTGATTCGGAATCGGTCCACTTAAATTGTTTGATGCCAAGTTAAGATGTTGTAGATTTGAAAGAACTCCAATCTCTGGTGGAATTTTGCCTGAAAGTTGGTTACCATTTAGCAAAAGTTTGTACATCAATGTCAATGCTCCCAATTCCTTGGGAATCTCACCAACAAGATGATTTGAAGAGAGATCGAGTTCCTGTAACTGAGTTGCATGTTTCAACTCAGTTGGTATCTTTCCAGAAATGTTGTTATTGGAGATTTGTAGGCTTGTTAGATTATGGCATTGCCCCCACTTTGGAGAAAGTTCACCATAAAATCTGTTATTGCTTAATGCAATATAACTCAAATTTGGATACACATCAAAAGCTTCTGATATATTTCCTGTGAAGTAGTTTCCTTCAAGCCTAACTCTGTATAAACTTTTGCAGTTTTTCAATCTTGGTGGGATATGACCCCTCAAATTGTTGTTGACAACTGAAAGATATGCGAGCTGTCCACCTTTGCATACATTCTCAGGTAATGGACCACTGAGATGGTTATATCCTAATTGTAATGACTGCAAATGAGTAAGATTGTTGAGCGTTGAAGGAATTGGCCCTAACAAATGATTATGGTTAAGTTTTAACGCCATAAGCTTTGTCATGTTTCCGATTGAAGGAGGGATTGAACCAGAGAATATATTTTGACTCAAGTCAAAGGAAGTGAGAAATTTAAGCATCCCTATCTGTTGAGGTATCATCCCAGAAAACATATTTTGATAGAGATAAAGAGTGGATAGACTGGCCAAGTATCCTATGGAAGCAGGGATTGGACCGAAGAAATTATTTTCACTCAAATCAAAGTCAGTGAGAGATTTAAGCATCCCTATCTCTTGAGGTATGGACCCAGAAAACATATTTCGATAAAGGTAGAGAGTGGATAGGCTGGTCAAGTTTCCTATGGAAGCAGGGATTGAACCAGAGAAATTATTATGACTCAACTCAAAGTCAGTGAGAGATTTAAGCAACCCTATCTCTTGAGGTATGGACCCAGAAAACATATTTCGATAAAGGTAGAGAGTGGATAGACTGGTCAAGTTTCCTAGGGAAGCAGGGATTGAACCAGAGAAAATATTTTCACTCAACTCAAAGTAAATGAGAGATTTAAGCATCCCTATCTCTTGAGGTATCGACCCAGAAAACATATTTCGATAAAGGAAGAGAGTGGATAGACTGGTCAAGTTTCCTATGGAAGCAGGGATTGAACCAGAGAAATTATTATGACTCAACTCCAAGTCAGTGAGAGATTTAAGCATCCCTATCTCTTGAGGTATGGACCCAGAAAACATATTTTGATAAAGGTAGAGAGTGGATAGACTGGTCAAGTTTCCTATGGAAGCAGGGATTGGACCAGAGAAATTATTTTCATCCAACTCAAAGTCAGTGAGAGATTTAAGCATCCCTATCTCTTGAGGTATCGACCCAAAAAACATATTTCGATGAAGGTAGAGAGTGGATAGACTGGTCAAGTTTCCTATGGAAGCAGGGATTGAACCAGAGAAATTATTTTGACTCAACTCAAAGTCAGTGAGAGATTTAAGCATCCCTATCTCTTGAGGTATGGACCCAGAAAACATATTTCCATAAAGGTAGAGAGTGGATAGGCTGGTCAAGTTTCCTATGGAAGCAGGGATTGAACCAGAGAAATTATTATGACTCAACTCAAAGTCAGTGAGAGATTTAAGCATCACTATCTCTTGAGGTATCGACCCAGAAAACATATTTCGATGAAGGTAGAGAGTGGATAGACCGGTCAAGTTTCCTATGGAAGCAGGAATAGAACCACATAGATAGTTATCAAAGAAATAGATCTCGGAAACTGAACTCAGCCTCCCCATCTCTAATGGAATGGAACCACTGATCTCATTACTTGCTAAGGAAATCAACTCAAGACCTTTCAATAAGCAAATTTCGGATGGAATATTCCCCGAAAAGTTATTGTTTGACAATTTAAGGAAGGTGAGCTTGGAAAGGTTGCCAATGTGTGAGGGAATGGGCCCATACAGTGAGTTGTTATGAAGGTTAAGCCCCATCAGGCTAGGGAAGAAAAGAAAGTTAAGACTATGAAGTGTACCTCTCAACCCATAATCTGGAAGGCTCAGATTGGTGATGCTTTCAGCCTTGTCGCAGGTAATTCCACCCCAGCTACAATGGCCATCTCCAACCCACAAAGAAGAGAGCAAAGTTTGGGTGTTGTTGTCAAGGCTTGCTTTCCATTTTAGAAGAGCTTCCGCTTCTTTACCTCTTTTAAGTGCAGCAATGGAGGATGAAGAAGCAAAGACAGAGGAAGAGTGAAGTAGGACAAGTATGAGGAAGAACATGACTTTGAATGGTATTAAGAAAGATGACATGATTTGGATAGTTCAATAAGGATCTTTTGTTAATTGTTCTAAATTACATTGGCTAGCATGGTCAGGTATTTATGTAGAATAGAAGAGCATTTCTGTCACTATGAAACATCAACATCAAGTGAAAAAATCAAACTTCAAGACTACGTTTAAGTTAATTTTGTTACATGATGATTATTAGTCTTTTAAGTTTCAATTGTAAAATGTTTTTGAATACAAAAATAATGATGATGATAAGATGCATTATAGTAAAAAAAAGATAATTAAAAATATTAAATCAAAATTATATGTAATAAAAATTTTAAATTATTTAATATTTATAAAAGTAATAAATTATTATTAAATTATTTTATGTCAAATAATGATTTTATTAATAAATAATTAAAAGTTATTTATTAATTTATTATATAATAAATTTACAAAATTATTTTATAATTTTTAAGTAAAAAAAAGAAATAAAAAAATTAAGTGATTAACTTGAAACTGCAAACAAATAAATAAATAAATAAATAAAAGGGCAAATGAGTACTAGAACTCAAACCTCCATTGAGCAGTGAAAATCACATCACACTATAAAATTATTTGGATTGCATTTGACAAGTATGTCATTTCGACCAATTAAAAAAAAAAGGTAAGTAAACAATAATAATTAAGAAATTAAAAAATACCGTCATACTTGTTAGGCTAAAAAGTTTTAATCCAATCACATCAACAGAAGTGAAATCAAATAATTAATCAAACACATAAGAGATAATAATTTAATGTGATTTGGTACAACTAACCTACGTCCATGGATGATAAATAAGATCCACTAGTTGTAGAGAATTACAAACATACAAATCAGATCATCTACCTCACTTAACAATCAATACTCATAAGACACTCCCAATCTCTTCTAGTTTTATGGAGTATTATTAACCCAAACAAACGCGTACCTATATGCACCCCTTCAATACAACTAAATACATACTCATATACACTAATACGTCATACCTATATGGACCCTCTCAGTCTCCTCTAGTCTATTCACAAACAAACATACACACCCATAAGATGTAAATCTCTAATACACTATGGGGTATCTATCCCACAAAATCTTACAACTCTCTTACATCTTTTTCTCATACCCAACCCTATAGAGATTTTATCTATTTATAAGCATACAAACTTGCCTATTAAGAATCATTTTTCTCTTAAATTTTTCTTCTGCAAGTTAAACTTATCTATTAAGAATCTCCTTTCTCTTAGAATTCTTCTTTTGCAAGTCTTCTTGTACATCAAGCAATAACTAATAAATCTCAAACAAATCTTTTATGGGATTTGAGTCATTATTCCTAACAATCTCCACCTTGATTCAAATTCATCAATCATCTGTCTTCATGCTAGATATGCTTGGCTTCACTTGCAATAAAAGTCTCACAATTATCTTCTCTTATATGTCTTCACATTTCATGAAAACCAATCTTTAATCCTTAAAATATGAATTCGAACTCTTTTCTTGAATCGAGCTCCTCTGAACTTACCTCTTCCCATGGCTCAAACTTTCAGTGTTTTTCACATCTCGAACCTTCAACTCTTATACCACTTGTTAGGGATCACCATAACTCTGATACCACTTGTTAGGTTAAAAAACCTCAATCCAATCATACCAGTAGAAGCAAAATTAGACATATAAAAGATAACAATTTAACATGGTTTGGTCCAATTAACCTATGTCCACGGATGAGAAACAAGATCCACTAGTTGTAGAGAATTACAAACATACAAATCAAATCATCTACCTCACTTAATAATTAATACTCATAAGACACTCTAAATCTCTTCTAGTCCTATAAAATATTTTTAACCCAAACAAATACGTACTCATGTGCACTCTTTCAACATAACTAAACACATACCCATATGCACCCATACCTCATACCTCTGTGGTCAGTCTCCTTTAGTCCACTCACAAACAAACATATATACCTATAAGGCATAAATCTCTAGTACTCCTATGGGGTGTCTATTCTATAAAATCCTACAACTTTTTTATACTTTTTTCTCATACCCAATCTTATAAAGACTTCATCTATTTATAAGTATACAAACTTGCCTATTAAGAATCATTTTCCTTTTAGAATTTTTCTTCTGCAAGTTAAACTTGCCTATTAAGAATTCCCTTTTCTCTAAAAATTCTTTTTTTACAAGTCTTCTTGTGCATGAAGCAATATCTAACTAATCTCAAACAAATCTCTTATGAGATTTGAGTCATTATTCCTAACAATTTTTACCTTGACTCAAATTTCATCAATAATTTATCTTTATGCTAGATATGCTTGGCTCCACCTGCAATGAAAGTCTCACAATCATCTTGTTTTATATGTTACCGATCCTCAATCCTTAAAATATGAACTTGAACTATTTTCTTGAATTGAGCTCCTCTGGACTTACCTCTTCCCATGGCTCAAACTTTCAGCTTTTCCCATGTCTCAAACTTTCAGCTCTGATACCACTTGTTAGTGATCACCACAGCTTTGATACCACTTGTTAGGCTAAAAAACCTCAATCCAATCACACCAGTGGAAGTGAAATTAAACAATTAATCAAATACATAAAAGATAACAATTTAATGTGGTTTGGTCTAACTGACCTATATCCATGGATGAGAAATAAGATCTACTACTTGTAGAGAATTATAAATATACAAATCAAATCATCTACCTCATTTAACAATCAATACTCATAAGACATTTTCAATCTCCTCTAGTTCTATGAAGTATTCTTAACCCAAATAAACATGTACCCATATGCACCATTTCAACACAACTAAACACATACCCATATGCACCTATACCTCATACCTATGTGGACCATCTCAGTCTCTTCTAGTCCACTCACAAACAAACATACACACTTATAAGACGTAAATCTTCAGTACTCTTATAGGGTATCTATCCCACACAATCCTATAACTCTCTGATATTTTTTTCTCATACTCAACCTTATAGAAACTTTATCTATTTATAAGCATACAAACTTGCCTATTAAGAATTCTTTTCCTCTCAGAATTCTTCTTTTGCAAGATAAACTTACCTATTAAAAATCTCATTTCTCTCATAATTCTTCTTTTGCAAGTCTTCTTGCCCATCAAGCAATATCTAACAAATCCTAAATAAATCTTTTATGAAATTTGAGTCATTATTCATAACAATACTTTCTCCACAGGCTAAAAGCAAAAAAAGAGTAAAAAACTCACTCATCACTAATGTCTTTCTATCTTAAAAAAAACAAAACAAAACAAAAAAAAAGCTTAAACTTTTTCTCTCTTAAACCCTATTTTCCTACTATGAGATCTTGACTTGATGACAAAAAAAAGATTTGGTGGATTTGATCCAATTTTGAATTCAATTACACATTTGATATTTGCCAAAAAGTTGAAATCCATTCTTCTCTTTAGCAAAATAAATGAATTTATTTTTGGACTTTTGAAAAGCCTGCTTGAAATTCATTACACCCTTCAAATACTTCATCCAACCATAGCCTAGAAGAAGAAATTTAATAAGGGCTTGATCCACTTTCAACAAGAAATATTAGTGTTTTCACATTTTAGGTTTTTTTAATTCTTTTAGTCATAACTTTATACTTAACACTCATTGGTTTAGAAATAAAAAAGTAGCCAACATTTCAAACAAATAAAAAAGAAAGAAAAAGTAGACAGAATGACGCAGATCTTGCTGCATTTACAAAAAAAAAGTCATAAAAGACAAATCAATTGCTTTAAGAAATGCAAACTTTTCAACTTTCAAAAAATTTACATCATAATCATATTTGTTTATAAAGACGTTTGATTCAAAAGAAAGAAGATTATTAATCATAGTTTTATTTTTGATTATTAGATTATTACATTTGGTTATACAATATTTTTAAGTATCAAGAATGTAAGATTATTAGTAATATCAAAATAGGGCTTCAATATCAAATAAATTACATATTAAATTGATACCCACAAATATTTTAACCATGAGCCTTTTTTGACACCTAACTATGTTCATAGTTAAATTTTTTTGTTTTTCCTTTTTTAGGAAAATAGATTCAAATTTTATTTTAGAGCAGAAATAATACATCAATCAACCTAATAAAAATATTTCAATAATTTTTATTTTTCTTGCTTTGCATACCCTTTTAAATGCACTTTGATAACCAAATATACAATATGCATGAGTCAAAATAAATTTGTTTTGCCAAAATACATGACCGCCGCTAATTTCCCTTCCATAAAGAAAGAAAAATAAAATTTTAAGAAGGATTAGTGCAAATAAAACTTGAAACTGAATTAAGCTCACTGCCATGCATAACGGATCTAGGAATTATAATTGGTGATGCAAATTAATAAATATGTACAGTATTATGCATAAAAAGGATATAAATCAAAATTAATTCGTGTAATAAAGATGGACATCTAAGCTCATAGTAATTTAGTTTACTTAAGTTTTTATTTTTATTGAGTGTATGTTTTAACTTCATTTGAATTTTTTTAATGAAATATAATAATTAATGATAACTTTTGTATATATTTTAAAATATTTTTAATTTATAAATTTAAAATATGTTAAACAAATTTTAATTATTTAAAATTATTATTTTATTTTAAAATAATTATTTTTATTATTTAATTAATTTTATTCTTTTTTTAAAAAAATAATTTGATAAATTTAATTCATACATAAAATTAGAAATTAAATAAATAAAAATGTGCCAGATAGATAAAAATATAGTTTATATAAAATAGTTTAGTACGAAAAATATAGTTTAATATTAAAAAGATTACAATTTTCATAAAATTATAATCTAATATATAAAAGGACGACGATTTGTTAAAAAATCATGGTCTATATAGATAAATTTGTAGTTTAATATACCTAAAAACTTTGATTTTTGAAAAAAATCATAGTCTAACATAAAAAAATTATAACTTTTAAAAAAAATCGTAATCTAATAGTAAAAAAACCGTAATTATTAAATTTTTTTTCAAGTACACTAGCTGCCTCCAATCAACTGTGTTTTTTTTTTCCCACCACAATAAAGAAATGAAAAGAAAAAAAGAAAAGATTAGAAACATCTCAATTGACGCCAACGTCAATTGGAGGAAGACTTCAT